TTCACTTCGAATGCATGACGGTTGTACGTGCATTATATGTTATAACCAAGGTGTGATGCTCATCCATCACCACCAACCCCGCAACCAGGCAACCCAGCAGTCAATGTACCTCATCCACTGCATGTGATATTTATTGCATATTCATCTATTTCCTTGCCTGTACACATTCCTCTCCGATATTAACTCTGCGCACACACACTGCATACAACATACATGCAAAAACACACCTCTTGCTGTGTTGATTAAATCTTTATCGTTCATTAGGCAGTTAGTTCTACGTTGTTTACGTTCATATACATGGACGATATAAGCTGTGATTTTGAGAAACACGTTTAGCCAATATTAGCGGTGAACGTCTGATTGCATACGTTCTTTCCATTTTGAGTATTGTCATTGTTGCGAGAACTATCCGTTTAATTACCCTTTCTGTAATTGAATTCTTATTTCTTTGTTGCACTTGTGGCAGTTGTTTGTTGTCATCTGATGCGTTATGGTCATACGCGTGGTGATTGTTGTTGTTTCCATCATATGTCACTAATATAGGTCGAATAGAGCTGCANTTATGCTTTCGGTGAGAGATGATTTTTTTGACGGGCACTTTAGAGTGAGAAATTGATCGTGTATACAACTCATGGGGTATACTAGTACATACCAACCTGTTGAAAGCCTGAGCCTTAATTCGAACTTAAGTCTAGTAAACGAGGCTATGTAAACCCTGTATGGATTATATACCCACACGAATCGTATAGATGGCCTCAGAAATTTCCGGTTTCCTCGTTCTAATTTAGATTTTCATATTGTAGACGATTGCATTTGTTGTTGACTGCAGTCTTGCTGTCACTTGCACCCTCTACAAATTGACTTTGCATCTTTCTAATAATTTTCTCACTAATTGGTTTTTGGGGCGATTGGTGAAGTGCTGATTGATCACTGTTGATTTCACGAGTTAAGTGATTCTCCGTTTATTGCGCCGCACATGCAGTGGATTTCTTTGGAAGGTAAATTTGAAATTCGTTACCAATATTATGCAACTATATCCCTGTAATCGTAGAATTTCTTTGAAAAAACTTGACTTTTTCGGTACTGATACAACGAGAGCAGTATTAAGCATATTTGTTGAAAATATCTGGAGCATGAATCGAATCGATTTAGACGTCTAAATATCATAATAAAGTCAACTTTTGCGAATTTTACCTAGTTGTTTTGCTAGATTTTTAAATTCAAAAAAACATATCATAACTGAATGCTTGATTCATTTTGCTTAAATTTGATCTACTCCTTGTTTGTTTGATTCTACAATTTCGTTTGCCTCAATATATGATTGTCTTATTCATGTGCTCAGCATTAAGCAGATGTTTTTTATTTCAGATCGAATTGCTGTTTTTCACAGTCTGCTGAAATGAAACAAAAGTAAGCAAAATGTATTGAATCGCTTTGTAAACGTATTTCAATGCTCTCTTAGTTGGGATTTTCAGAAAATTCCAATTAAAAAATGGCTCACCCAAGCGTCTCAAGATTATATGGTGGCTCTGGTATAAAAGCGCCATTGCTCATTGGAATGTTGAGAACCTGTGCAAGTTTCAGCAATGAGAGTCTTGGGTGATGCTTAAGCACATTTAATCTACATGTAAACCAATGGTTAAACTTGAGCTTGTGGAAGCCTGAGCTCTTAAGAGAGGTGCTTTCATCTCAGCATTCTTGTGATACGTCCAATATTTTTAAACCACTGAGAGGTGTGAAGGACCAAAGTTTAAAAGTGAGTTAGTAGCGGGTGGGGGCATTTTATTTGTGTTTTCGCTGGCTACATTAGTTGTGTGACCGTTACCTTGACTGCCTCTGGCATAGTTTTCAGTGAAATTTTATTACGTTGTCAAAGAGGATATTTTTTTCAAGAAAAGCAAATGTACCTGAATTGTTGTCTCCGAAGGAAACTTATGAAATTTATGAGAAACATGGCAAAAGGATATACGACGTTCAGACACAAGGAATGCAACCGGTCACGTACACACAGGTATTGATTACACACTGTTCTAAAGAAGTAAGGTCAAGCAGACTGGTCAGTGAATGTAATGCTGCAATCATGCTCGAGAAAAAGATGAATTGTGCGATTTGTTTTAGATCAGTTATACAAATGCGGCCATACCCGAAAATGAGGTACCAAGGCTGATCACGGAATGCACTTTTCAAAGACGACCCAAGAAGAGAAGTAAAACTTATACATGATTGTTATTTTCTCCTTTGCAAAAAAAAATTTTATGCATATTCGTAAACTTTTCAAATACTCCATGTTTACAACTATTCCGTTCACTTTTTTAATCTCCCTTCGCTTGCGAATCGCCCCCAACAAGCTTTGAATGTTTCAGTAATTTCAGGCAATTTAAAAAAAATTAAACATTCAAATGCTTCATCTGTATGACAAATATTTACGATGTTGTTTCGTTGCTGTAAAATTTTGTCTTTATATGACTACGAAATGCTCTTTGAGTCAGGTTGATCAGTGAATCTTTTGCAGATGTTCGTTTTTTTTTGCAATATTTGTCATAATGAACTCGAATTGGCACTCGAATTGCTTTCAGTACCAATGGGTGTGGTGATCGCAGCTGCAGTTGGAATTCCACTGTTCATAATGATTTGCTTGTTCGTTGCCATATGGTTTCAGGAGCTTGGTTTCATTTGACTGTTGCTTTACTGATAACACCGGAAGAGGTGTTCTCACGGTTCCTTGTAAAAACGTTACTCATCATACTGCTATTTAATTGTAATCTTTTAATAGCACTGAATTAATCAACATGAATCAGTCTATAAAAATTCATTCTTTTAGTTGGTCGCTCGTTATTGAAACCTCTTCCAAAGTACTTCAAAAAACGTGCTCTTTTTGATTGTCTGTGGTCAAATAAATTGAAGGCATCGATTATTCATTTTTATAATGTTCCGTCTCGTTATCCTTTTAAGGCTTCCCGATATTTCAGTTGACATGCGAGGAATTGAGCAAGTGATTGATTGATGGATTTTGAATGCTTTAAATAATAGCTAAGTTTAGTGAAATGTGTAAATATTCTGTAAATATTTTCATTGTCATATTTCCGCCGTGACAATGTTCTAATTGGAAATTTGTAAAATGAAAGTGCAATAGCTATCGCCGTGTTTTTGGATGCATTACTTAGCTATTGGGATGATCGGGAATCGAGCGGATTGCTTAATTCGTAGTAAGAGATCTTTTATGAAGTATTTGCGATTGACGTTGATCTTCATTCATCATATACCTCAATGTATAAATTGTACATAATAAAAATGTTCTTAATATTTTGAAAGTATCCTTATGAACAATTCAGATCTGTATTCATTTGAAATGTTGGCTTTTTCAGACGGAAGGTATAGGAAACCTGAACAGCATGGACAGAATCTTGTTTTGAGGTCATTTTTCTTATGTTTTTAAGCATTCATTCCCATACTGATCTCATGAGTGCTTCAAAGCTGGGACTAAAGTATGGAGAGATTCAACTGAAAAACTGTTAAGATCGAAAAAACAAAGGGAACTGAAATATTTATGATGTTTCGTCTCATTATCACTTAAAGGTTTTCCGAGTTTTTAGTTAACACTCGACTTATGTATAGTTGACTTTCATAAGATATTTCCAGCTTGTAAGGAAGCTAGTATTGATAAGTATTTGACCTATATTACAGGGAAATTTTCAGCTAGTATTGGTAAGCGTTTGACCTTCATTTCACAATAGGTCGATATTATGCAGTAGTGATGGCATCCGAGCGAAATTTCATTTGGATAGGAATCCGACCGCTCTGACTTTTCAACATTGCAGCAGTCGGAATTTCGACTGACCTTCCACATTGTTCGGTCGGAATCCGACCAAAATTTGTCGGATTTTTCCGACTGACCATCGGTTGGATGCCATCACTGTGCAGTATGGATTCATTTCAGCTAGTATTAGTATACATTTGACTTTCACTGCAGTTCGAGTGGATGCTGCGGAATATGGATTCCTTTCAGCTATTGCTAGTACTCAGTTGACCTGTTCTGCACCTCAGGCAAGATGACTGTATTCTTTACAAGAACCTGAACTATATTTAGCCACTGCTGAATGTTCATCACGAGTTGCATTGATCACAATTTGCTGCGAGTATGATTGCCTACTCAATCTGAATTGAAACACCTCTTGTACGAAAAAGCAGTTGTAAAGACCTACTGCGACGAGCTTCTTGGAAAAATCGCTAATCGCATGAGACACATCCGTTCAAATGTGTAACGTACTGACGGGCGTCGCTACGGTCACTCGCATTACCGTATACTCATATTGACTAGCTCTAACACAAAGAGATTGAGTGTCAGTTGGTACTGCAACGCAAAACAGCCTAAGGCTAACAATTCAGTCTAAAACTAAACCTAACCTGGACTTAACTTTGAGCCTGAACCTAAGTCTAAGGCTGAGCCTAAGCCCTTAATGAAAACGTCACAGTGATATGGTAGAACCGACAATTTGTTCAGTGCATGTCGCAGCTCGATATGTGCCTCAACCTGAGACTGAACCCAAATATGATCCATTACTAGTGATGGCATCCGACCGACGGTCGGTTGAAAAAATCCGACAATTTCGCTCGTAATTCGGATTGTCCGAATAATTAAAATAGCATGTCGATCGAATTCCGATCGACACAAAATTGCCCTCAGATGTCATTACTGTCCATCACCACACTTCAGTTTGATTATCACCATCTGAGAATCTCTGCTTTCACGTTTCTCAAAAAAAGATATCTCTCAACGCGATATTTGCAATGCAAACAATCAACCCATGTCATCTATGTGCATTCGAACTCCTTTTATGATTAGCCATTTTTCCAAGAATGAATCGACTGCCGTGTCAGGCTACAATTCTTTCTTCCTTGCCGTAAACTCCAGAATTACTCGCGACACATTGTACAGTTATCATTTTTGGAACAGTAACAAAATTTGAACAGAGTCAAATGGGTTGCGTTGCGTTCACACAATGTCAGCGATTGAGTTAAGCTCCGCCCGTTCAGTGAAATGGGCTCTCGTTCAGCCTCCATACTGGCACTTTGTCAATGGTAAATTGTCAGCAAATAAGAGTTCACACTTAAGAAGTGATGAATTTGAGGATATGTAACTGAAATTTGAAAGCATTGTTTGAATTTCGTCGGGTTTACAGGGTTTTTTTCTCGCTCGTCTCGTAGATAGTTGCGGAGTCTCCCACTGTCTGAATTTGCGTTTTACAGGATTCTCGGGAACCATGGAGCGTTACGATAGAGCAATCACAATTTTCTCCCCTGATGGGCATTTATTCCAGGTTGAATATGCACAGGAAGCCGTTAAAAAAGGATCAACAGCGGTATGTGTGAATTTTTCTAGTAATTCTTTGCATTTTTTTGTTAATGCAGAACAGTGTTTCTTTACAAGTATGTTCATAATTTGTACATCTAATTGAGTTTGGCCAAATTTAGAGATGATATTTTATGGTATTTTCACGATTGAATTACTAATAGATGTTTTCAATCTTCTGAAGGGCGTAATTAATTGAGAATATGATTTGCTCAGTTTATAGGTTGGTGTTTGCGGTCGAGACTGTGTGGTGATTGGTGTTGAAAAGAAATCCATTCCTACGCTTCAGGATGATCGTACAGTTCGAAAAATTCATTGCATTGATGAGCATGTTATGCTTGCTTTTGCAGGTTAGCCATTTCTTCCAAAGTCAGGTTTATTCATCTACTATTTCCATTAATGTTTGCAGGTCTCAGTGCAGATGCACGTGTACTTGTAGACCGCGCTCGTGTTGAATGTCAAACTTATAAGCTCACACTCGAAGATCCAGTTACTGTTGGCTATATTGCTAGATTTATTGCAAACACAAAACAGGTTAGAAAATTTATTTCCAAAATTTTCAGTTCCCTTCCATGATCTCACTATGACCGAAAAGCGTGTTATTTTTTGATGTTTGCACAGAAATACTGCGGAAATTGTCTAGCCGCATGCTGCTTGCCGTCAATATAAAGTTGAAATTAGCAACTTTGTGGTAGTATTTCTGTCTGAAGCTCATGAACAACAAGTTCAGTAATGAATAGTTCGATTTTGGTGTATCTTTTTGATGGTTCGTTAGCATTTATGATGAAGAAAACTTCGTTACTTCGTTTCACCGTTTTGATTTCTTTGCTTTTCACTATAATTGTTCTCGACTTTCCGTTGCAGAGGTTCACGCAAAGTCCAGGTCGCAGACCATTTGGTATATCAATGTTAGTCGGTGGTTTCGATTTTGATGGCACGCCGCGTCTGTTCAAGACAGAACCATCTGGAGCATATTATGAATATTTCGTGAGCAATTTATCATGATGTTCATTAGAGTATTCATTTGAAAATGCAGTTATAATCAACGTTGACATAATGCGAATGGGTTCATTCGGCCATTCATGGGCACATTCCAGTGTTTGTTTATTTGATTGAAATGGGAGTATTCTGAAGGCAAATTCAACGGGTCGAGGTGAAAAGCCAGTTCGAGAATACTTGGAGGAACACTATAGTGATGAAACAATCGTTGACGAAGGAAACGTATTGAAGTTGGTCGTGCGAGCATTGTCACAAGTGGTTCAGAGTGGAGCACAGAATATCGAAATTGCTGTTATGAGACCAGCCGAGAAGAAGGTGTTCTTTCGCGTTTTTGCATCAACGTTCTCTTTGAATGAATATACGCTCTTGTTATTATGAACACTTTTGTTTGCTGACGAAAGGAACATTCGTTCTCGGATAATATCACAAACTTTCCAACTGTTTCCTGTAAATCAGATATCGGTGAACAATTTCAAGCTATTTAAGTTAATTTCCCTGTTATTATTATAGAACACTATTCAGGGTCGAGTCAATTACCGTGTATTACCGCTTGAAGAAGTCGAGGAACTATTAAAGGTGGTCGAAGCTGAACGTGCTGAAGCGGAAGCTGAAGAACAGGCCAAAAAAGGCGCACATGGAGGATCTCCGAAATAGACAGATTGGCGGATAGATATAAATTATTGTTGGTGTAATTGAATTGAACTGTTCCATTGTTTCATTTATTTCAGTGTTGCTGTTGAATACATATAATAATTGGGGGAGATTTTTGTATCGTTAAGTTGTTATTATTATTATTTATTCATCTCACCAACGGTCTTGCTTTTTTCATTATATATTTACCATATTACTTTTGCGGTTTCTGTTTGGTTTCAATTAAACGTACAATCTCACTTAGATTGTGTAGGTATGGCTACCTGAGATGTTTTAATGTATTAATTTGCATCGTTTCGGAAGATTCTGTGAATCTTATGTAGGAAATACTGTTAGCGTCGCATGCTTAGTACACGAATGGGAAGTGTTGAAGAGTTCTGTAAAGTTAATACGGTCTCCATAAAAATATTCGAAATATGTTTATTTCTGAATCTTTTAATCAAGCACATCATTCACATACAATTCAGTTGAGGATCATAAGTTTGATGATAATAGTAAGATGAGAATCGAATGAAAAGAGAACATCTGCAATGTTGTTGTATTGTGCGCCTGATTGATTACCCACGAAGTACAGAGCTCCAAGTTACGTATTCTTCTTTCGAGATTGTTGAACAGTTCCGCTCACTTAGAAACTTGAAACTGCGTTAAAGCGCTGCGAAAATGAAGTACAAAAAGCGACAGCAAACGGCACGTTTAACAGACACAAACGGATACGATTTCCTAGTTCGAGGACATTGAGTGCTACGGAAAAACTGTGCCGAAACGGCGGGTGGTGGACACGAAGAAAGCTCACATTCGAATTTTAACTGCAAAACCGTTCAACGAATCGATCTTTGCACTCTTGCAACTTATCCGACTATCTCTGTATAACGAAAAAACTGACGTCATGCTCTGTAAGAGCAGCAAAGAAGAGACTGTGCATGCACAACTGCCCCAGCAAATAACATTCTCATTTATGCGCAATTCTCGCTGTTACACAGCGTAATCAACGAAGCTGGATATTCTACCAATCAAAGCGTGAGGTATATAATAATAACAATGATAACTGGTAATAATAATAATTGATTATAATAATAATAATTGGTTAATATCTGCAGTTGTGATGCTGTAGGTGTATAGCAACACAGAGAGTGCAATAGTATATTACATCAACAAATAGTAATTATTAATTAATTAATCAGTCAATCAATCAATCACTTCGGTCGGTTATTGTTGCACACATAGGTTCGTTCACCAGTACAGCTGAAGGGTCGCTACTGCTAAAAACGACAGCTCGATACTTTTCGATCCGTCAGATGGAATGCGGAAGTGATCGTTGCGATCATTACGTTATATTCGCATTCTTTCGAGTCTTTGTGCTGTATTCTTCAAGGTGACATCGGAAGAACGCTCTGCAATTCAGCTAATGAGTCAGTGTAATAATGTCTTCGCAAACATTCATCCAATATGCTAGTTTAGACTGCTGCAAAAATAGTTCTGTGATCAGCAATCAAGCATCTTACTCATCTCATAAGCACATACACCTTCTCGTTATGCTACATTCAAAGGGTTTGCATCCCCTGAACAGAACACATGTTGCTGACTACACTGCACACAACAAACAGTTACAATACATTCTAAGGATGCCCTTATTTTGCACTGATCGTTTCCTGTTTCGTTGCTCAATAATAATCAGCCAACACTAGTAAATGTTACTTACCGCTTTCGAAAACTTCTCTTAAGATCGGTGTTTTTGGTGGTGACGGTAGCGGTGTTCGAATTGTTAACAGTCTTTCAAGGAATTGATCCAACTGACTGAATTTGATACCGTCATGTAGTGTTTCAAGTGATCTTAACGGTGGCCAAAAACGACGAATTTCTGAATTACTGTTAATATGAGTCATGATAATAATAAATAGTGATGGGCGATATCGCGCTATTAGCTATTCCCTCATTGGTGAAGTTACTTTGTTTGGTAGCGCGATAGCTCGTTACTTTTTTCTTGTAGCGACAACTTCCGCCACAATAATTCTTAGCGGCATGAAGTAACCATAATTGCGCCACTTATTTTCATGAGCATTTCAGTGCGCTACTTTCCGCTAACTCGCTACTTTTCGTCTGCTAGGGAATACTTATTTTCCCTAACAACAAGTTACTTAACTTTTGTGCGATGTCCATGTTTTTGTGGATCAGTTAATGTTCCTGACCCATACTTTAGCAAATGTTTTAATGTACATTTGTTGGCCAGATCTGAAGTCGGCGAGCTATTGTGAAATAGTTGCAGGTAGTTGAAACGGTACGAGGATTAGATTTTAAAAAATACGTTTCGAGCATTTGCCAATGTTTCGAGACAGAACATGTTTATATCATCTCGTGCAACATGGCCAACTGATTTCGCAAAACAGTTTTGATCATGAGTTCTGTTGGGGAAGAAGGTCAAACAATGAGTGAAATTTTTTGTTATATAACCACTTTTGGTATATATAATCAATTTCGGTTTATAACTAATTTTAGAGTGAATAGAACAATTTTGAACAAAACTAGAAATGTGCAATTCGATCGTAATTCCAGTCTGACAAAACTTCAGTAATGAAAATATTGTCTTGCAGAGCTATTATTTTCAGAACTTTCAGATCCTTTCAGCAACCACCGAATCACTCGGAAGTGTACAGACATCTTTTTTATATGTATTAGTTCAGAACACGGCTTCCTCCCTTCCTCAGTTGTATCAGAGTTCTGCAGCCTCAATAAATAGGTTCGGAATCAACTATACTACCATAGGAATATTATGAGCTGCGTATTGAAACTACGATAACCCTCACTCTTGCCAGCAACGTAATGTTTTCTTGGTATGAGCGAATAGGAGAGGTTCTCTGTTATCAGAAAACATTATGTGACCTTGAGGGATTTGTCTGAGAGAGTGTGATTCATTTGTCGGAGGATGGAAAGATTTGATAACCGTGTGATTCAGATGTTTCTCTCCGAAGTCTCGGTTTCTGATCTTTAAGTTACGTTTACAGGAGATCAACCATTTTTGGATTGACTGCACTGGTATGTTGACCTAACCCAGTCACCTCAATGTACATCTTAAGTGAAGTATTTGTGAATTTTATTGCGTGATCAGTAAAGGTGATACTGTGAAAAGGAGATGTGCGTGGGTAAGGAGTTCATTATCTCCCATAATTGTTGGCTATGGCAGTCATCCTGATTGCTGTAATTTACTGGTAACTTCACTCCCCTTCCCATAATTGCTTTCGCACAAAAACAAGCATGAAATGACATCAATAAACCTAAAGTGAGTTACTGCTAGCCTCGTCGGAACCGATTTCAGCCTTACCATTTTGGGGCTCGACGAGGTGACTCTTCATTTCATTATTGTTATTATCATTACTATCATAATTTTCTGACAATCGGATTCCATTTGAATAGAATTCGTCGCTTCCAATTAATTCCAAAAAAAAAGATTTTGCCAAACTTTTGACGGTTTTTCCCGGGCAAATCAACAGCACAACTGTTGTTTTTAAAGGAAGATTTGAAGTAGCGATTAGCGAACCAATTTTGCTGATTAGTGTTTTAGTGAAGCGCCATTTTTTCAATCTGCGGAATATTTAGCGAAAGTTTTCGCTACTTCTTCATCAACGGCGCCACTGGCGGATCATTTTTAAGGGAACGAAAATATTTTTTTTAGCGAATTAAAGATCAGTGAAGCTACTTTCTGCAACATAGTGCCCATCGCTGATAATGAATATAAGATGAATCGAACTGAATCGAGCTACAAACAATCATAAAAAGCCATCACTGACCACCAACAGAAATCTCGTCCTCGGCTTTATAAGTCTGCAAACGCGGTGCACTCGATGACCGCGCTATAATAGCAGTTGACAGCACAGCCGAACCTGCAAATCGATCTACACCAGCACAATGTACCACTGCCACTCACTGATCCTAGCTCATAACTCATCACCTCTTTCTCTCACAATAAAAGCAAATGTTCACAGACTTGATTGCATCAATACTATGCAACGGCATTCTTTACTAGATGCGAGAATAAATCCGTGTTCATGAAATAATTTACTCACTGTTTGACATTCGTCGACGTGCCGCATCTGATGATCCGAATAGGACATCTGTGCTGATCAGACGATTATCAACTTCTGCAAAACATTGAATAGAAGGAATGATCATTAACCGCTTCGCTTCTCTATAAGTTGAAATTTGTTTCGAATGTCGAAGGAGGATAATTCGTAATAGAATAAGTCATTAAATACCTTTGAGAAGATTCACTGTGTGGTGTTTGAATCGATATGGAAATCGAGAACGACGAGCTGCAATATTACATTATTAATAAAATTAAGAACGACAAAACACAATTCGCACGTTTCCATATTAGAGATTAGTCTTCAATCAGTAAATTCAAAAGCATAAATTGAAATAAAAGCTACAAGTTGAGGGAGACGTAGCGCTAGGCTGAGTGGACACTTCACCGATACCATTTTCATCACCGTCTGCAGAATCATCCGTTGCCAATGTCCATCGTACCTCTTGCGCTGCTTTCTCACAAGAAATATCGCTTACTGATTTCATCAAGCCCACATGTCTGAAATGAAATACCCTTTTAACCATACCGATGATAACCCTCAGTAATGAATATGGTGATAATAATAATAATAATAATAATAATAATAATAATAAGAACAATAATAAAGCCTATCAAAAGAAGTGGAAATGAAGTGCACAAAAACCTAGTGTCAGCGATGTTTAAATGAGAGACATGATTGACGGGGTCGTTAGCATCACAAACAGATGAATAACTATCGCATGCGATCGAGCTGGACTGAATACGACTCGGCGCCGCATTGCATTCACCGACAACATTTGCTATCGCTTCGCCACTGGTCATATGGCGCCTTCTTGTTGAATGAGACGTCGACACTGCGGTGGGACTATGCCGCGCTAGTTCATCGCTTGCTTGAAAATCACGTTTGCTTTTTTGACGAGTTTAACAAAATTAACATTTTCTTACTCACTTCGATTCGAATCTCGAATTATAAAAAAAAAACGAACCTTTCAAAAACAAATAATCAAAATTAGTGCAGAAATTGATGAAGAAACGAACTTACTGTATTGATTATTATTATTAGCTACTTCATCGAGCACAACCAAATTAACCGATTCATCGTTCAGATCATCTTCAGAATCATTCATTTCCAAGCATTTCTTCGTTAAAGTCATCGCTTGCGTTGAACTCTTGCCCACAGTGTATTCGTTTAAGCTGTCTGTTGACGGCAACGTAGACACATCCTTGGACACCACTGTCGTTGCTGGTGGCGACTCACTGACACCCTAAAGTTGTGGCAATGATCAACCATCTAATACCACTTATCACTTCATTCACAACAAACTCTCCCAGTGAACAGAAATGATAATGAACCTTATCACCACTCACAGTTCCCATCGACGATAGTGACGTATTCGAACCGTTGAACTGCGCTCGCGAAGACAACTTCGTCACTGATGGGCCTGGTTTGCCATTCGTGCTGAAACATGTTTTAATAGATCAAGAACTGGCATAATCTTATCGATGAAACAAAAAATGAAAGTGATCACATACTTCGGGAATCGTGTTTCATAAATGCGCTCTTTTTCGGACTGAAAACATGGATAAAGACCCGGTGAGAAGAGCAATTCGATATGGAAACGATCCGTGCCTCGCTTTTCACTGTCTGCACGACTATCTTCATAGACCATCAGTACAACTTGTGTCATATAATTAAATTCAGTAACTCCAGCTAAAAAGTGCATTGCGCGTTGCCATTTCTTATCGTCTATCTGCAATCAGTTAATCAATCAGAAGAAGCATTGCAATCCAGCCAAATACTACTCGAGCTTAAAGTACAAGAATGAAATTCAAATCGCATCTTTATACGACAATTATTCATTCGACACAAATCTAACTGAATGAATGAACATACCGAGCAAAGTCCTCCATAACGAATCAAATTCATGAGCGTATGGATATGCGATTCACTCGTAAAATACAGCCTTGTTCTAACGTGTCTTAACGGTGTTGCTATGCCCTGAGAAGCCCTTGAAAAGCGTACAAACATCAGATATCAGTTGCATACAGAACAATTGATGAATCAACAAAGTTCACTGCACTGACCTTGGATCTAACCGCGTTTGACTTTCATCTTCATCCGAACTTTCAATGCAACGATGCAAATCACTTCGGATCTTCTTTATCAGAGGTGTACAAACACGTTGTGCAATACTTATTTTACTGCTTTCGCTGATACCATACTCCTTTCAATTGTATTAGATAAAATGAAAGATTCAGCTGCGTTCTAAGTGAAAATACTAAACTTAGTAACAAAATGTGAATGAATACCTGCGGTACAACTATATCAGCCATATTCTTCACACATAAGTACATACGTTCAAATTCTCCTTCATTGTTAACACATAAGTCAGGATTGTGTTCCATGTCGTACTTGATATTATCATAAATATCCGGTATCTTTGATATATCGAATTCCACTTCACCTGCTTTATTAACGCGCCGAAATTCGCGCAGTTCTTTACTCCAACGTCGTTCAGCCAAATCCCAAGTCTCATTCAGATACAACGAATGATCTTAAAGCACTACTTGTCCGTCCAATAAAGCTTGAGAATCTAGTGGATTAATGCGCGATAAAAGTGGAATATTGACAAATTTTATTTAAAGGGATACGCTATGTTCGAGCAATCAGTCACAATATTTCAATGGATCAAAACAACACTCAAAATTCATATCCGTTCTCATTAAGAACGAACTGATTGCATTTCCTTGAATTCCGGAGGAATTTATGCGGAAGGATCCAAAACAGCATATCGATAAGACATAAAAGCGACAAACTTAAACGATTGATCTTGTGCCAGTTGATCACATCAACCATTCGTTGCACATAGCCAGCTATTTCGTCGCACATTTTTCGTGGATTCTTTATGAATTCCATTGCATTTGCTATTGATCTATTCCCAGATGGATTCAAACTTTCGTAATCATCAGCTGTCCATTCTCGATCCACCTAGAATGCGTATACTTATGCAATAAACTACACCTTATTTTACTCATATTCCCTCAGTACTACTCCTCATTCGATCGCACTCATAAAACCGCTGTTTGTTTTTTGTTTTTTTAAACTATGAAACGTTTCCTCACTTAACCTTCCAAAGAGCTTCTCAACACATGGGTGGTCCTGTTTTAAAACAATGACGCAAGTAATCAGTGAGTAATCTGCAAAAAAAACCACTGGTCTCACAAAGTCACAATGACCTGTAATGCTGAGTGCAAGTATGACTTCAATTCATTTTGAAAATCTCGCGCATTACAGTCATCGTCAAGTAAACCATCTGTATTTGCTGACTTCACCATTTGCATAAGAATTGGCGTCAATTCACCTTCTAATGCAAGTAGACCCTGAAAACAGCTGTTTTTTTTCACTGCTTTACTATGGACCTAACTGATCGGCAGAATAAAATATCCATAACTAAATGATATCATTGCAATTATAGGTCTTGTTTGATTAGTAACTCGCTCCTTTACTTATTAATTAGATTGTAAAGGGTATTTATCGAAATGAATTTCATATAGAAACAAGATGGCTGTTCCATGATAATGTTGTAGTTTGCATGTTGAGAAGATAAGTGAAAATAAACTTTTGCAAAAGCAGCAGCAGTCATTTGAACGCGACCCTCATCAGAAGCGTAGATTTTGAGATCATGCCGATAAGTGCTGTGTAGACGAAGAAAGCCCAAGCCTTGAAATTCAACATGTACTTCAAAAAATTGATTATCGCTCAGCAAAGCGATAATCATTTGAAGCGATCCATTCAAAAGCCAACACCACACCAAACCTCCGCAATGAATGTAAACGAACCCACAAAACAAATCATCTCTCACCCTAATTCGAATGGCGTTTGCAACCAAAATTTGGCAACACTCAATTAGATGAAAAACAAATACGTAATATGCATACCTTGCGTATCTTCAGGTGAACTTTTACCATCGGTCCTTCGAATTCCAGGATAAAGTGTCCTGAACAATTTGCCGAGTGCTTCAGCTTGAAGATTACCTTAAACTGATCAATATTCACTTCATTCATTTCAATTAACCATCACACAAACAATGATCGCTCAAGCAACCTGCCGTAGTGAGTTCACCACCCCACTTAAGGATCAACATCAATGCAGCAGACTGATGTTGTTCCTCACTATCCGATCGGTCAGATGAGCCTTTAATCTCACGTGGTTTCAAATATTTCAATTGCACTTTACGATTGATACCCGAGAAGTGACCATACCTGAAATTAAGAATGATATCGATACAATGCTGATAATTATAACGATCACTGCTGCTCAACTACACAGATGCGAAATGATTGATTTGGGCGCAAATTTGTTAGATTAACCAAGAGAAAGCAAAATATTCTTGGTTCACTGAAAAGCTGCATATCAACACAAAAGAGCGAAACCATTTGTACATCCCAAAATTTCTTCTTTTCTTTTGAAATTATCTGCAAAACGAATAGAGACGGAACTTTTGCATAGTCGAAAATTCTGAATTTTCATTACAAGAAGAAAAACGACAACAGAGCAGTGTGTCATTGGCTGCATATTATTATTATTTGGAAACTGAAAAACTTTTCAATACGCACTCCATTATGAACAAACAAGTTACAACAAAATAGTCGTGATTTCAATCAATTTAATTTTTGGAAGTGATACCAGCGCAGTTTACAGCATTCACTGCTGTATTCACATTTCAACGAACACATCGATGTTTGCTTCACTGAAGCTGTTGTATTGTTGGTATATGCACGATGAGATTGCAACAGAGTTGAAAATTGCAACGAAACGAAATCAAATTCAAAAAAGGATAAATCAGAGATTAGTGCTAGCAACAATCAGTAGAACAGCGATTAGTATAAAATCATGCTAGAGATTAGACGATTCATGTGAACTGAATTGCGTCAAGCTGATAATTGTTGTTAGAATGAACAAAATATAATGCGGGTTTGAAAAGAATATTTTTAGCAGTGGTAAGCATTTATTGAAGAACAAATCAACAAACGTGCAAACAAATACAAACAAACATACATTTGAATACCGAAAGAAATGCATTCATCACGCACAACATCTGTACAAACAATTCATCAATAACAAACAAATTACCACTGATTCATTGCACTAAAGGTGCCACTCGATATACTTTCACATCGAATGGCTATTCGCAGGAAAAGATCACATTTTAAAAGTGTGTTCAAATCGAAAACGAAACATCTACGAATAAAACATCTATATCCAAAACGATGAACAAACAATAAATATACACATGCAAGCAAGCCAACTGATGAATGTGAAATAATCAAAGAACGAATGATGAAAGAGCAATACTAATATACGGATATAGCATACATTTCGAGTACCGTTCGCATTTGATCCCATTTCTTGATATCCTCTTCACACCGCTCAAAATCCCGTTCGAACCGTCGTAAATTGTTACTTTTATTTTTAGTCTGAACAATCTCACCATTCTTTTCACAACGCTCAATCAATCGAACCAATTCAGTTCTGCGCATCTTCAATCAATCAACAGCGATACTTCACTATTATTCAACGCAACAAGCTGATTTCTCATAAATATCCTTGTTCTAACCAAAATGAAAACAGCTTTATGATTTCATGTATTCTGACGGGAGATGGGAGAAAAAAAGGAAGTTGAACTGAATTCTTGTAAAAAAGCAGCCTACTTGTTGCTCATGAAGAATTTGACGTGCCAATTCAAGTACTTCCATTAATTGGGTCGGACGTTTCATTTTTATTTCGTTCTTCTTGAAGCCATCGTATTTACGAAACAGCTCAAAGAAACGCCCATCAGTTACTACAACCTGCAATGTTGATCATCGAAAGAAGACAATAAGAGAAAATCGAATCGAAGATTCCTAAGAGCACACATTCTTCAAAAGAAGCAACCTTCATTTTTTGTTTCGGCGTTCGATCACCATGACGAATTACAGCTAGCACACATCGAAGTTCCATCACCTTTCCACTTGGTGTTGAAACCAGTGGTGGATCGTCTATAAAGTATTTTGCTTGGTATTATTTCAAGTTCTAGTTGACAACAACAAACAGGCAATGCATAAATCCACCCACATATTCACTCACCATCCTGATAAGGAATTTGCCATGGTATGGACATACTCGAAGCTAATCGCCTCAAAATAGTATTGCCTAAAATCTTCGCTGTATCTTCATAATATTTGGTGGAGGTTTTAACGAATGAAAATCCATTCACATCACAAACATATGATTTACCATTTGCTCGTAATAAATCGAAACCACACACTGTTTGCTGAAAATACCGCAATGCAATAAACAATAATATAAACCGAAATCATTAGGTATCCGTAAAATACTCCTTTCATCTGAATAATCTTCACTGACTCTTTCCTTTTTCTCAAACAGTTTATCATTAGCTGTATATAGCAAAAGAAGAACCATACAATCAACAACATATAAACTCTTCTCGCACTGACTACAAAGACAAGAACAGTTACATAAATAAACTAACCCCGAATGCAATAACAACTTTTCGAGCAATCGTCTTCTCCTTACTACTCAGTATAACCGGATATCGGACCTCTTTGCCATGTGAATCTCTTTCTACCTTACCGTCTAAACCGGGTGCTTTCCGTGCTTCTGCATGCGCATAATACGGTCCTACAGCGTAAACCTTTACATCAGTGCCGTCCGCAGGTATGAAATCTTCATAAATGAATGAACCATCTCGACGTACCGTACTAACGGGTGAATACCAACTACTTCGATTATTTATCTGAATAAATGCTATATTTTGATGCTTTGCGATGATTTTTTGAAATGCCGCCCGATTTCGGTTTATATTGGCTAAACCAATAAAAACCACTTTATGCAAAATTTCAGTCAAAAATAGAGCTGTCATCGAACGACAATAGATTGAGCATTTTTCGTTGCTGTATCGACTGAACTTGTATATAATCGATAGTTAAGAACGGGGTTCAAAGAATGTTCCGAACATGATGACCTTAAACTTAAAAAGAAAGAATTTGCGAGAACATAAGAATGGATGAGGTGAGAAGCGACGAAAGACGTTAAGAACCCTAAGGATGGAAACCGCAATTCGTTCACAACATCAATAGAAATATCCAAATATGGTGAATGCCAATCGAGTGAAACATTTTGAAATAACCTTTCTAAAAAGTCGCTGAGATCCACCGCCAACTGAACTCGGATAATAAATGTAAACGTTATGATCTTCGGCAGAAAGTGGTTTTTCAACAAACGGTTTATTAAAAACCATACCATTCACTTCGATATGATCATTATGCTCTATCAATTCACCTTCTGTGAAATTCACTGAATCAGTTTTAGTAAAATTTTAAACTTTAAAACCTTATCAATAAGGAACATACGTAAACATATTCATACAATCTGCGAATGTTTCCTTTAATGATGGATGACATTATATCAAAATAGATTACATCAATCATGAGGGCACAAAACTATAGGATTCTATAGTTGAGTAATTTCGTTTCAAGAGTGAATAACATTTTAAGAATGCTTGAAAACAATTTTGAATCGATGTCAGCATTGGTGGATAGAGTGTAAAGCCAACTGATCGATAGAGCAAACATTCAAATCTTCATCAACTTACCGACTTTTCCGTTCTGGTCTCGTATCAACACTCCATGACGAGGATGCTCAATTCCAGCACGTGCTAATGCCCGGAAAACTTTCCGTCGATCGAGCTAAAACCAGAACACAGATTACTTGCGTTAACCAATGCCTGTTCAAAAAACATTCGCCTGAACAATTGAATGTTTGAACGATCCTTTTGAACAAGTGTATTCAATTGAATCTATAAACAAATAAGCTTTTTCATAACGTAAACTTCAACAACAAATAAACCACCTACCAAATCGTACTGTCTGTGAAGATCGTTGATCACATACGGTCTTCGAAGACGTTCGTATTCAATCGCTTTATGCAGTGGAAAATCAGTCGCATGAAAACTTATTAAACAATCGCATAGCGGCCATCGCTCCACCGGTTCATTCAGAATCACCTCTTCCGGAAATACGATATATTCTAACCAGTCCTGAAACAATGTCAATTCCTCTTGTTATTTTATCTTTGCTGTATATTTTTACGCTGTAAGATCAACAAATACACTCGATTCTTAAGCCATTAAGCTCTCGAATTTGTTGAAAATGAAATGATAACGAAACTGTACCGCATAATATTCCACTATTTTTGCCATTATTTCCCTCATAGGTTTACTCGTCGCTTTCCTTTTCATAGCGCACACACCAATTACAATCTTTAATTGAAGGCAATGGAATAATCAATGCAAATAATAACTGAACTAATCTTTGTCACAATCAGAAAAGAATGAATGAACGAATTGAAAGTAATCCAGGTAACTGAAAAAGAAATGAACCTTTTTACGAGATGAAATCGAGCAAGTTGAGGATGATGCAGTTGCTGGCATTTTGTATGGCGAAGCAACACTTGCGAGATTCTGTTAATCTATTCACTGAAGGAATTAATGCTCTGAAGAGATCTATCTTATAGGTTAATATGCAACAATAACGATCGCGTTTCGGTGAACTTTCATTGCTTTTTGTCTCTACAGCTGAACCGATTCCAATTGATCAACTGACAACTGAATTTTGACTCGGCTAAAGCAAAGCAAATCCCTGAAATCATTAGATCAGCTACTCAATTTTGCACCGATCATTATTCTCGAAAAATTATCCATCATGATAAATGAATTTAGACCCTGGAGAAGATGGAGGCAAATTAATCCTACTCAGTGCTGCTCATAAACACCCGGTAAGAAACTACTCACAAAACCGTTACGAAAATGCAAATATCGCTCAAGCTCAGAAATAAGCCACAGAGGTAGATGAGGATGAGGTCAAAGGTACTGCCGAGCATCGTCTAAATGGACGATATGCTGTCGTAAGATCAGAATGTATCCGAACATTTGAACAAATGACCCATCGAGTTGTATCAACGGACCGATTAATGCAAATCAATGACACAGATCATATCGACTTTTATCGAACTAAATCACCACTAATCGTTCATAGAAAAAGCATTTTCATTTTATTACATAAAACTCTTGCATTATACTACACTCAAACAAGCACTAATACACGCTCAGAAACGTTACGTTTGCCATCAACTTTTTGAGTAACTCAAAAATATGTTCCTCAACACCGACACGTAACATTTCTAACTGCGCAGACAATTCATAACCTCAGTGTTTTGAAACACCAATTCAGTAACGAATAAAATGCTGCTAATGAAACACCAGTAAACGATATATGATATGGCTGAATATCTATAAATACAATACCTTCACAATCGAACAACTCTAAACTTTATCAGATCATCAACAACGCATGTTTTCTAACTGCATCATACCGAAACAAATTATCAAATGAAACAGAATACAGGAATTTACAGAAAGTTGTTGATAAATATCGTGATCCACACGTACATAACAACTAAATCAACATATTATATATTAGCGTTAGTAGGATACCACCACTCAATCTCTAAAAAATTAAAGATAACGGGCATTACAAGTAGACATCACATAAACTGCACATGCTCTTCACATGGATCTTTCATTTAAACAACAAAAAAGGCGAATAAAGATTACCAGTGAGACAGTGTAATAGTACATTACGAAATCAAATGTTGTAAGCTTCGTTCACGAGATTCTTTTTTGGCATTGAATACACAGCAAACTATGCATATCCCTTCATAAGTTCAATATGCACATCGAGGAATAAATCGATCGGAGTGGTTCGATTTACAATACTGATTAAATGTGTCACCAGAAAGCGAAATGAGACCGACTCTTGAAGCCTTATTCAAAACAAGTGAAGTGCTCAATTCCCGAAACAATGAATCATAGGTGCTAGTGATGGATCATCCGCGACGAACATACTGAAAATAGCAACTTTGATTTCTTGAAGAAATATCTCATAAGAATATCAATTTCTCTTCCTACATTCTACAGAACCAATATTCGAGATGACTCATTCAGTAGAGTGATGAATGTGCGATAACCAACATGAACGGCACACCTACTCAACCGTATACACATAAACTGCGCAGCACTTTATGTGTAAAGGGAACCCCGTCCTCAATATTTTTCAAAGCGGTTGCACCTTTGAGATCCCGCTTTTGTTTTCCTTCCCCGCAACACACCACTGCACAGTATAAATCTATCTGTTCATTATAACTGGTGAACACGATTACAAAGGAAATAAAATAACTCTTATGGAAAAAAAGACATCTGAGGAATGCACAAATGAAATGAAGCAACCTTTCTACGGTGGCCATAAATTCGGGAGGACCACAAACGAGGACACGATAGCGATGTTCCACAGAAGCACCATCCTCTCTGCACTCTTTCAAAATCAACGATTTTTGTTTCTCTGAATCGTTTTCTTGCAAATGAAACACATCAAATGTAATTCTTTTGAAAACCATCAATCAATAAATAATTATTCTTACCGTTCACAACCAAAAATACGTTTATCAGTTTTTGTGCAGCATAAAATTCACAGAGAGAAACTAAATCAAAGAGCAACGTCAATCCAAGTAATAAAAGCAAACAACCAACAACAAACCTATAAACTTGGATAACATTAGGATGTTCACGTCATGATCTTCCTCTTCGTAATGAAACAATGAAACATGATCTCTCGCCGGTTCCAATCCACAATATTTATAAAATTCCTGTTCCAAACGATCCTCAGCAGTTCTATTCAGGAAAAATAACGAACAATGACTGCAAAACGATCGAATGGCTGAGATGTGTTATGATTTTTCAACCTTATCATTGCATCCCAATGCCAGCCACTTGAGTCTTAATAACGAAGAAATGAAAACGTGCCTATTCGAATCATTCTTACGCGCATTCAGCAGGCGTATCATAGGAGTTATACCAGTACCAGCACAAATACAACATAATTCTGTCGAACAGGCCGATAAAAAGTCGATATCGCCAACTGGATCACTTATCTCGAGTTGGTCACCTTGAAGATGCGATTGCAAATTAAGTGTGATGTGATCAAACAACTAAACGAACCTATTTGAAGACGACGAAGAGCGTAAGTAAACTTTCCATCTTCATACAGTTTGATCAAAAATGAGATCTTTCGACGGTTCGCATCAACCAGTATCGGGGTGTAAGGTCTTGTGAATGCAACCACTAAAATGAACATACGCTGTTCATATCATTTATTTGCAAACCGATAAGAAACCAATGCACAAAAATTGGTTGCATTAAGATGTTCAGATTATATTAGCATCCGATCAAGAAAGGACAGATTATCAAATATTCGCATGAATAACACTACGTTGAGGCGAAAAAACGATCTTCGAATGTAACAGTAGAATCAGGAAACAAAATATTTCGAGCTAATCGAGTAACGAATGGAAGTGACAATGATAAATCACTCGGTCCAGTTACCTTTCTTATCGATTCTGAGATAAACGTGATGTCCAACAGGTAACGACAGGTAGGTAGACAACGGTAAGTCCAGTTCATATAAATTCGTATTATGAGTTATCTTACGAATCTGGCTGATTGTGCACACTCGAAAAAGTAATCCTGTGATAGAAAAAATAACGTTATCGGCATTTTTTTTTGGAACACAGAGTACAGGAATAGTTTCAACTAAAAAAAATGAACAGAGATGAGATTAAGAGAAAGCAATGAAATGATAAAGAAAAATGAACTGAACTAGCAGAATGAACCTGGTCTTTTTTTAATAGTGACCAAATCCAGCGATGAGAATATGCTCATCTCCCTCGAATGATCGAATTTAATTTCTATCACACCAGATTCAACTGATACAATGAATGTGTCACACATTAGCAGTTTGGGAATGCCATCTGCAAACCACAACGATTCAAAAAAACATTCCTTCGCCCAAATAACTTTGTAAAAATGCATAAAAACGCAATGAATCAACGCATGAAACATCCGATTGACACTTTACTGATCACTCATTCAACCAATTGTTTCTGCACTGAGATAATAACTTGCAAGTCAGCTGAATTAAAGTTTAATATACTTATTAACAAGTGATCAATTTGTTATTGCTGTTGTTGCTGTCTCATTGGAAGTCTTCTCTTGTTCATTTCTTAGCACAATATTGCACTATTATTATTATCAAAACTTATTCGAAGTAAAATTCGTCGGATGAACACAAAGTAATGATGAAAACATTTAAAAATAAACACTTCTAAATAAGAATGATCATACTCCATGCCAACGAGATTGGTGGCGTGCATCCAAGCGGTTTAATGAGCACACGTAATGCATTACCACACACATCAACGCATACATTTTCCTTTTTCAACTTCATCCATTCATCGCAATTTAAAACAATTTTACCATCAGTTGTTCCTAGGATCCTTGAAAAGCACTGTTATACAACTGATTGGCTCATTAATTATCCTTTCTCAAATAAGCAAATCATTTCATAAATATGAAAATGCTTTCCAAACGTTTAAACTCGACAATCATCAGTGGTGAATTTAGTTCCTAATCCAGTAGAAAACAGTACTTGATATTCATTCCAGGCTGTCCATCCTTAGGTTGTTCATTTTTAACACTGTTGCTTAGAGAATTTTCACAGCCTTCAGCCACATCCGGAACCCATTCATCCTTTGGAGTAGGTACTGGAAATCAATCAATCTTAACAATATATCATTGCATCATATCGGAATGATTTATTCTTTATCACCATCCATGGCTCCAGTGGTATTTTCATTTCAACAATGGTTCATTTCGTTTAGCTTACCTAAACATTTTTCAGTGAAGAATAACTGTCACAACAAAAATTATCTTCATAATACTCTAATCAATCTATCACCGTTTTCAAATGCATTAAATCAGTTGACACTTCCTTTCACTTGAATTTTGAGCAGTGTTATTTTTGTGAATGGATATAAGAAAGTTTCAAAAAGGGCGAACGTTTATCAATATTGCCCTTGAAGTAACCAACGAAACACGCTTTTAGCATAGTTTCATGATTAATCCATGCATGATATTTATTGAAAAGTATCGTTCCATCACACCCAGCAGCTCTCATTAATTCATTTACTCCGCCTGGATGGAACGTTAAATATTCTGTGACGTCATATACCTATAAAAACACATGAAATTTTTAGATGCAAATTGTTTGTGGCTGTCTTTTCTGAATAATCGTTGAAAACGTTTCATGTTTGTTCGATTTCATTTCATCATTACAACCGGAGCTGATCAAAACAGCAGCATCATTCAATCATATATCGACCAATTATTCATACGAAATGAAGACATTATAATTTCTGAACTAAACCTCATCCACAACTATGCCTCAAAAAACACCTTATTTTCAAGCACAATCCAACAGTTGTCAACTGTGTTGTGTTTGCTGAGTTCAACTTCATCGACGAATTGCATCTGTTTCGAAGCTATGTTTCTACCTGAAGTGAGCTTGACCCAATCCATAATACCACGACCAGGTTGTAGAGCAACCTTAAGACGACCTGCCTTAGTACGACCTGACGATGGCACCTTCAAAAACAACATTACTCTTACAAATCTACCGTAAAACATTCACCTTCAAAAGTGTGATCCGGCTTGAAAACTTTGCCTACGTTTACTGCTATCTTTTCAGAGAATTATCATTTAAACACGGCGACTAGTTTTTCCTTAGATCCAGTAAAATGATGAAATCACCTCAACACTTTATGCTCTGCAATATTAAACATTCATTTCATGCACGTAATCTATCATCGAATACAAAAATCGCACGCTATATACTAACCTTCGAACTCTGTGGAACTACAAGTGACATATTACCAGAAAGAAGGCCTTTTTGGGTGATATCTTGTGTCACTGTAGCGTTGTTTGGCATGCAATTCGAATCACTGCTCAACTGCAAACGTTTTAATAAACACTTAAAGAGGTAGTATTTGCATCCGTTAACAGGAAATAAAACTGCACGAATATAACTGATTTTTAAAGGGAAGGTCACAAACTTACTCCGCCTTTCGAGACAAGTCATATCATGAGTATCTGTTCCATGAGAGGAATTTTTCACATTCAACTGATATTGCTGCAAGGGTATGAGTGTGCTTCACAATGCAGACATCTTAGGCTTATGAAAATGTTTGTAATTCTTCAGTCAAAACTGGCGTGATGGCTTCGACTTCCATTCAAGCTCAAGATTACGCTTAGATTTTTGCTCAAGGCCGGTCTCAATTCCGATATATGGATGAAGAACCAAATTCCACTGCTGGTCCAAAACGAAATTGTGAGCCATTCATATCAAGGAATACAGAGCATTGGTTTTCACAAAAGGGGAAGAGGGAGGACTACATAAATCCCTCTAAGGAGGAACGCAAGGGTGTCAGGGATGAAAATTAAAGAGGCAGGCATGTCATTGTTGATCAATTTCTTTCTTCATCATCTTTCAATAATTGTCGAATAATTTTTCAAAATACTTCTCTGATAACCGAACTCATCGAAACCAACTTCTTCATCCATGCATCAGTCTTCAGACTTTCTTCTGATTTAGAACTGCGGTCATGTATGTTATTAGAGAATGGGGCGACGATTTGTCATACGGTCAAAGGAGGACAACACCGTGAAAGACATTGC